AGCCCTAACCACTAACTAAAAAACCTACCCTAACCTTAACTGCTAAAAAAACAACCCACCCTAACCATAAATCTAATTTAACTTCAACTATTCCAATACTAAACACCAACCCTAATATTAAATAATCAACTTCTTATAAAGCGGCAAAATGAGCAACACCAAACAAGTGACAAAGTGACAAAGCGGCAAAACAAGTAACACAAAGCAAATGGCAAGGCAAGCAAAACAAAGCAAGCAGCAAAGCAAGTAGTTAAGCAAGTAGCAAAGCAAGTGACAAAAATCACAACAGCACCTAAATGGTGATGACACCAAGACAATGACACCAAATCAATGACACCAAGCGATGATACCAAGACAATGACACGAAATCAATGACGACACCAAAACAATGACACCAAGTTGGTGACACCAAGCGATGATACCAAGACATTGACACGAAAGCAATGACACCAAGTGACGACACCAAGACAATGACACCAAATCGACGATACCAAGCGACGATACCAAAACAACAACACAAAATCAATAACACCAAACGACAACACCAAAACAACGATACCAAAGTGACGACACCAAGACAATGACACCAAAGCAATGACACCAAGTGACGACACCTAACGATGACAACAGAGATGATATCACAAAGCGTGCCAAACTATGGTAGTAAAAAAAATAAAATAAATAAATTGTGTAGAAAAAAAAAGAGCAGTACAAAAAAAAAAAAGCAGTGATTATCGATGATTACTGATTGTATATATACCCATGATCAGGGGTGCACCATGGTGCAGGGTGCACCAAAATATAAATCTCTTATTTATAATTAGTTAAATCTCTTTATAGTCACCTCCTCTATAATTACAAAATTAATATAATTACAGATCTATTTTTACTAATTATTTATAATTATATAGAAATATCTCTATATTAGTTATATCTCTTTATAATTACAGTTTTTGTATTTCAAAAATATAATTATAAAAAGTTTAACTATATATAGAAAATGCTTTTATATTAGTTACAACTCTTTATAATTACAGTTTTTTGTATTCTAAAGATGTGATTGTAGAGATTTAACTATACTAGTATAGTTTCTAGAATTATATTTAAATTTATTATATTAACAAAAATGCAATTAGTCATATACTTAAATTTATTACAAAAAACATGTATTAAAGTCCAAGATATATATGCATGTATAAATTATCTTCTATGAAAATTATGAAAATTTTGTTAAATAAATTCGTGGGAGTGAATTACACTTTTGACGAGACGATGTGTTTACAAATCAATTTTTAATAATTTTTGTAAAGCTTAAACGGATTTCTTTTTAAAGGATTTAATGAGATATTATTAACGTTTTATTATTATTTATTAATATTTTTTAAAAGTTAGTAATCGAATAAATACAATACAAATTGCATTACGTAATTTTAGATCATGTTTGCCATCCCTAGAATTACTCCGTTCAGTCGGTTAGGTTTGGCTATTGATCGATTATTTGGTTATAGTTGATTTT